CGACCCCGGCCTCCTGCAGTTTATAGAACCAGCGACCCATTACGGAGGGTGCAATGCTGCCATGCACGATCACACAGCTCTGATACTTCCTCCTCAACAACTGAGCAAATAAGAAGGGGTATCAGTCGACTCGAGTCAGACGGTAGGAGCGTCCCCCAAAACTAGCATGAGGACACCTACATGCAGCAGACCTTGTTCCCACGAGAATTTATCTTTGAATGTATTAGATTGGGCCAGTTTCACGAACTTAATCCACGGGGGAAACTGCCTCGTGGCGAGGGAAACACTCTGCTCTGCTGCGATCGTGGGAATGCTGCCATCCTACCAGTGTGCCCGGCATGGCCGGTTGATGGAGCGGCTCCCAATCAATACGCATTGCACACAAAGGGCATTGCGGATGTCCATAAATGACCATCCCATTGCGGCTGGGTTGCCGGTGGCCAAGCCCTGTAATCCCAGCACCTTTGGGAGGCGAGACTGGCGGGATCACGAGCTCAGGAGATCGAGACCATCCTAGGCAGAAACGCGCTGGTGAATACCCCGTCTCTACTAAAAACAGACAACAACTAGCCGCGGTGGAGTTGCCGCGGCGCCCTTGTAGTCCCAGCTACTCGGGAGGCTGAGGCAGGAGATGGCGCGTCAAACCGGGGCGGCGAGCTTGCAGGAGTGAGCCTGAGATCCCGGCCACTGACTCCAGCCGCGGGTGACACAGCGAGACTGCTTCTCAAAAAAAACAAAAAAAAAAATCCCAGCATTGGCAGATGTTCATGTCTAACGTTTGATTAAATTCGCAGATAGACAATGATAATGCACATTGGCAGATGTTCGTGTTAGCATCGTGATTAGAAAGAAGCCAGGAAAGTAACATTTCGGCTTCAGACAAAAGTGTCATCTACCTTGGCAGCATCTTCTTTTTTACAAGAACGTCTTGTACAGGGTCCTCATCTAGCAGATGTCGTCAAACAGCAATTCCTCATTAGTCGACCTGATCGTGTACACAGCGGCTCATGTAGCAACTCGTGTACAAAGAGCCTCCGTCATTAGGGGGATGTCTTGTAACAAGCCGGTCTTCATGAGGCAACTGTCCTATACAGTGTCCTCATAGCTGATATGTCGTATACAGGTCGTCATTAGCATGATGTCTATCAGCATCCGATCATTAGCAATGTCATATACCAATGTCCTCATTAGTGATGTCATATACACCAGCGTCCTCATGCGTACGATGTCATATACACGTCCTCATTAGCGATGTCATATACAGGCAACCTCAATTAGCGATGTCATATACAGTGTTCATTACGCGATGTCATATTATCAGCGTCCTCGGCGCGACGCGCGGCCATTGTCAGCTGCTCAGTGCTCATTAGTGATGTCATATACAGCGTCCCTCCATTAGCGATCGTCGTATCCAATGTCCTCATTAACGTGATGTCCGTCAGTGCCTCATTAGGTGATGTCCTGCCACCGCGTCTCTTTAGCCATGTCCATGATACACCGTCCTCCACTTACTGCCATACATACCCAGCATCCTCATTAGCGAGTGCTCAGTATACAAGCATCCTCATTAGCGATGCCGTATACAGTGTCTCATTAGCCCGATGTCCTTGTACCAGCATCCTCATTAGCGATGATCATAACAGCATCCCTCATTAGCAATGTCGTATACAGTGTCCTCATTCAGCGATGTCCTTGGTACAGCGTCCTCTATTTAGATGATGTTGTATGACAGCGTCCTCATTCAGCGATGCATATACGCTAATGAGGACGCTGTATATGACATCACTAATGAGGACATTGTATATGACATTGCTAATGAGGATGCTGTATATGACATCGCTAATGACACTGTATACGACATCGCTAATGAGGACACTGTATATGACATTGCTAATGAGGACGCTGTACAAGACATCCCTAATGAGGACGCTGTACACGACGTTGCTAATGAGGACGCTGTACACGACATCACTAATGAGAATGCTGTATACGACATCGCTAATGAGGACACTGTACAAGACATCTGTAAAAAAGAAGATGCTGCCAAGGTAAGACACTTTTGTCTTGAACCGAAATGTTACTTTCCTGGCTTCTTTCTAATCAGATGTAGACACGAACATCTGCCAATGTGCATTATCATTGTCATCTGCAATTTAATCAAACGTAGACATGAACATCTGCCAATGTGGATTTTTTTTTTTTTTTTTGAGACAGAGTCTCGCTGTGGTCACCAGGATGGAGTGGCAGTGGAACGGATCCTGGAGCGCTCAGCTGCAAGCTCGCGCCCCCGGGTTTCGCGATTCTCCTGCCTCAGCCTCCCGAGTAGCTGGGACTCAGGGCCCGCGCACTCACCGGGCTAGGTTTTTTGTATTTTGGTAGTAGAGGAGGTGGTTGCACCGTGTTCGGCCAGGGATGGTGTCGACTGTCGCGTGACCTCGTGATCCGCCCATCTCGCGCCTCCCAAGGTGCTGGGATTCAGGCTTGAGCCACCTGCACCAGCCGCCAATGTGATTATTTATGACATCCGCAATGCCCTTGGTGTGATTTGCTATTGATTGGAGCCTCCATCAACCCATGCCGGGCACACTGGTCGATGGCAGCATCACGATCCACTGCAACGCAGAGTGTTTCCATCCCAGCAGTTCCCCCCAGTGGATTTAAGGTTGTGGGATGTGCCCAATCTAGCATCACTTCAAGATTTAAATTCTGGGAAAGTCTGTCTTTGTTCATAGGTGCCTGCAGTGCTAGTTTTTGGTAGGACTCCACCTCTGACTTCAGTCACTATACCCCTTGTTATTTCTCCAGTTGTTGAGAGAGGTTCAGATCTGGTGGACGTCGCATGGCATCAATTTCCCCTCCTAATGTTTCCTTTTCTATAACTGAGAGCCATTGGACAGTGGGAGAATGGTACGGTACCTGGAAAATAACTCAGATTTCCTGAGGGAAAAATGCTGTCTCTAGGTACAGAAACCTGATTCTGGCTCCTTTTGGGCGTAAGAGAGTTTGGGGTCTGGGTGAGAGCAAAATGATTTTGCAAGTAGTAAAACAATGTTCAGCCGGCGCAGTGCTCAAACCTAGTTAATCCAGCCACTTGCGTCCTTGGAGGCGAGATGGCGTGGATCACGATGTCAGAGATCGAGGACGCTCCTTGGTGAACGGTGAAACCACGCCGGTCTTACTGAAAATACAAAAAAACTTAGGCGGGCGAGGTTGGCGGGCGCGCCTTAAGGTCCCAGCTACTCGGGCAGGCTGAGGCAGGAGAGATGGCGGTCAAACCCGAGGAGTGGAGCTTGCAGTGAGCTGAGATCCGGCGTCACTGCACTCCAGCCTGGGCGACAGAGCGAGGACTTCTTCTCAAAAAAAACAAAAAAAAAACAAAAAAAACAAAAAAAAAAAACAATGTTCAGAGAGGCTGGAGGGATGTCTGTGAGCCCAGAGGAAACACCAGGGGATCATGTGGGAAGCACGGGGGCTTCAGCTGGGGTGGGAGGAGTGGGCCTGTCTCTAATGACTTATCCTGATGTTTGTGTTTCTAAAGATTTGATTGTGGAGAGCATATCTGATGATGAGGATTTTGCAGGTAGGTAACTACTTTCCATGTAAGATCCAATGGGAGAGAGTTCCCAGGGGCCTTCGGGGTATCCATACTGTTTGGGAGGTTGAGGGAGGGGGCATGAAATCAAAAAGAAAAAGGAAATATGTGTCAAATTGGATTTTGTCTTTTCCAAGTTTCTTGCCACAATGTGAGAACTGTCTCTCTGGGCTGTGAGGGTGCTGTGTGATTTAACGGTGATCTTTCCCAAAACAGCTGGCCTTTTCTCTTCCAACCCTACCAAACATCAACCCAAAGGGAAACTTCCTTCCTAACCTTTTATGATATTTAGAGGTTGGACTAGTCAGCACCCCTTGGGATTGTGCAGAAGAGGTTTGGGGTTGCATCAAGTGGCACCTGTGGCGAACAGAATCTGAGGACACAATTCCCTCACAGGCACTTACTTGAACCTGGAGACAAAGTTCTCCTGGTGTGTGCCCAGGGGTGCAGGAGAAACTGATGGTCGTCCTCTGAACTTTTAGGACTTTGAAAAGCAGTCATGTTTCCATCCTCGCTGTTGACTCCTGGCTTAAAGGGAGCTCCTAGGGTGAGTGACGGAGGCGGGATCGGACCCTGGCAGTCTGATGGCAACACCTGTGTTCCTCTGCGCTGGGCCATGGACGACATTACACACCTTGGTGAGAATCAGGAATTGAGGCTAACCACATGTGGAATTGAGATGGGCCTTGAGTCATAGAAATAGGTTGGAAAAGATGCATTTTACTACCCTATTGAAAGAAACCATTTATTTCTCACTCCAGCAGGATATATGGTTTTCAGTATCTACTTAACTGCTCATTGACTCTTACTGTAGATCAGGAGGTGGCAAGCAGCCCCTGCCCTCCCCCCGTTGTAGGCCCAAGGTAACCAGCAATTGACTGCATATAATGGAAGAGTGGTGCATTTGGAGGTGTCTGTATTAATGGGACCCACATGATATGGGTCAGAGCTATTAGGGTGAGAAAAAACCTGGGAGCACAATGAAATAATTAAATATTGAACAAAACATTATTGAAATCTCCATTGCACTTTAGTAGTTGAAGTCATTCTTGTGGTCATCACTGCCTTTCCCAAGCATAACAAGCTACTTAATATCACACGGACCCATGCCATGAGGAATGACGATCAGTTTGTAAAATGCCAATAAAGCCATTGCCTGTATAAGCCATGATATTTCATCCGTATATTTCAATGTCCATGTGTAAATATAGTTCAAATGTCAGAATTTATTATTATCTAATAGAATATGCATGGTATATCAATGAGCGATAGCCCTCATACTCTTTCTATTAATAATAATTTGCATGATGAAAAATGCAGAATCCCATTCTTGGATTTTTCTCAGTTTGCACGCATGAGCATGACCACCCCATGTCCACCTGACATGTACCAGCAGGAGGCCAGAAACAGAGGCTTTTCTTATTAACCAAGATTTCTAAATGTATTACATATTCACGGTTAGAAATAACTCTAAATATCGTAAAAGGTTAGCAAGGAAGTTTCCCTTCCACTCCGAACTTCCAAACACCAAGTCGACATTTTCATTTGCATGTCATCCCTACAATCTATGTGCAAATAGAAACATGCACCTGGCATGCATGCTGATGCGTGATTGTGCTTATACAAAGTCCTCTGCACCTCTGCATATATCACTGGGCAATGCACCTTAGTTATCATTCCACTTTTCAACTGTAAATCCATTGTATTGTTTCAGAGCTGTAAAGTACTGCACCCTATGACTCTTCCCAAAATTACTTAAGCACCGCCCTCTGGGTATCCATTAGTTCTGTTTCCAGTCTTGCTCTTATAACCAATGCTGTAGTGAACAGCACTGTGTTGAGTAGAAGTGGTGAACGTGGCATCTTTGTCTTGTTCCAGTCCTCAGGGGGGATGGTTTCAACTTTTCCCCATTCAGGATAATGTTGGCTGTGGGTCTGTCATAGATGGCTTTTATTACCTTAAGGTATGTCCCTTCTATGCTGATTTTGCTGAGGGTTTTAATCATAAAGAAATGCTGGATTTTGTCAAATACCTTTTCTGCATCTATTCAGATTATCATGTAATTTTTGTTTTTAATTTTATTTATGTGAAGTATCACATTTATTGACTTGCATATGTTAAACCATCCCTGTATCCCTGGTATGAAACCCACTTGATCATGGTGGATTGTCTTTTTGATATGCTATTGGATTCAGTTAGCTTGGATGTAGCATTTCTTATTATTCCAGTCTGTGGAGTGTATTGGTTTAAGTAATGAAAACATGTTATATCTTCACTGCTTCACACTTTCTGTTTCTTTAATAACCTTCCCAACAGGGCAGCATAAAAGCAAGGGCCCCTCTAGTCTCCCTTTAATCTGGAATCCCCCCTTCTCCACGACTTGCTCATTGGACAGGATAGACTGAGCACCCAGGCCTCAAAGTAAGGACACGCTCCTAGAGGTGCACTGCCTGGGAAGGCCAACCTTGGAGGAGCACTGCCATCTGTACAGTTACAGAGGTGTTGGGAGGGACTGACCACCAATTCATAATGCTGTGCTTTGTTGGTGATGTAAAGGATTGTTTCACAGATTGTTGGGGAGTGACAATCCCAAGTCCTTGCCTGGCCCTTGTTCTGGCTCTGCACAAAAGCAATAAGAGAGGGATGCTGGTAAGGGCTGACCTGTTTCTGTGCTGGGGAGGAAGGTGCTGGTCTGAAATCCAGGAGACTGAGGATGACCTGCTGCTGTGCTGGGGAGGAAGGTGCTGGGCTGAAATTCAGGAGGCTGAGGATGCAGCAGTCCAATAGGAGGTACATGACCTTCAGGATACATTTTCTTAATTGATGATAAATGGAAATGAGAAATCGTTGACCAATTTTTCTGTCGTTGGATATCTACTCTCTACTGCTCATGCTGTTCTTGTCTTTTGGGGAAGATGGAGGATCAATCAGTGGGTGCTGCACTGAGTGGAAGGAAGGAGAGCTGCGACAAAAATTAAGGGAGGATGAGGGATGGGAGGGCCCTTCATCCAGGTGCTCGCAGAGCCCTCCTGAGGAGGAAAGCCCCGTGGCTGCCTGGGGAAGGAGCAGTGAGGGCTGCGTGGCTCCCACAGTGAAGTGTGTGGTATGTCTGAGGACACCTGGGCTGGTCTGTGAGGAGCCAGTGGCAGAGTGAGAAGCAGCAAGGCCAGGAGGGTGGCTGGAGGCCAGGCTCTGGGTCATTCTCCATGTGATAGAAACAGCCAGACCCCAGTGGGCTGGGAGGTGCAGGACGCAGTAACTGATGACAGAACAATGCGGAGAGAGGCGCCATGTGTCAAATCTTTACTTTGTTCTGGGCATTGTGCTAAAACTTCCCACGGTTCATCCCATTTAGGGGCTGAAAGTTGTAGAGGTTTAGGAAGCTCACCCGTGATACTGGAGCCCCCATCTCCTGCCCCTTCTCACCCAGCCACCACCTGTTTCAGGGGAACACACAAAAGTAGTAACTTCTTATGGAGAGGCAAGTAAATTCTGATGTTCTTGTTATTCACAGAAAAAAACACTGGCTCATATGGTTGGGGAGGTGAAATACCAGAAGGATTTCATCTGGTTATTTCTATCTTTGTGAATCCTATAGTATTGAAATGCATAGGTTAGCATTTTCGGCCAATTTACTCAGCATTCTGGGTTAAAGACTTTTATTTTTAATTAGTTATTTGTTTGTTTGTTTGTTTGTTTATTTATTTTGAGATGGAGTTTCGCTCTTGTCGCCCAGGCTGGAGTACAATGGCACGACCTCGGCTCACTGCAACCTCTGCCTCCCGGGTTCAAACAATTCTCCTGCCTCAGCCTCCCAAGTAGCTGGGATTACAGGCATACGCCACCATGCCCAGCTAATATTTTCTATTTTTAGTAGAGACAGAGTTTCTCCATGTTGGTCAGGCTGGTTTCGAACTCCTGACCTCAGGTGATCCGCCCACCTCGGCCTCCCAAAGTGCTGGGATTACAGGTGTGAGCCACCATGCTCACCCTAAAGTCTTTTAAAATTCACTTGTGTAAGCTGACTTAGTTTTCTTTAGCCTTGCAGAAAAATACAAAAATGGCAATCTCTTTTATCACACAAATAATGTCTTTTTAATAGTGATTTTTTAAATTGAGGTATGATGTACTTTTCATTCACTAATTATTAATTGCTTACGTTTGAAGTGTTTTTTGAATTAATATTTAATTGCACACATGAAGATTGCTAGTCATAGGCATTTTACTAACCAACAGTCATTAAGCATAGCATGGATTCATGTGATGTCAAGGAGCGATTTTATTTGGTGAAAGGGAAAAGATAGCACGAGAACGAATGAAAGAGCTGGACCAGTGGAGACACCGACAGTGATCTGTCTAAGATCTAAATCATTCTGTTGTCTTCCCGGCCTCCTTACCATCCTGACCATTGTCATCAGCATTGTTGGGTCCTTTTAGCACAGATTTCTCAAAATGGGCAACTCCGTAACACTTGGAAGCTTCCGAGTTCATAGAATTTGAAGGAGGGCAATTTAGGAGTACCCATCTATTTTAAAATTCCAGTAAAATTTCATTTCATGTCTAGAGTCTTGTATGTAAAATATTTCCACAATTAGGAGAAATATGTGCATGGGGATTTTCTACCTAGCAGTGTTGTGATAGAATAGAAAGTTGGGACAAACCAAATTTCCATCACGAAGGAAATAGTAATACACTGAATAATAATACAGTGAATATTATGCAGACTTTAAACATCAAAAAAGAGCTCAACTTCCGACCTCCGATGACCACGTTGAAGTAGGTCACAGCTGGTTTACATTTGATTTTCGTGTGGGAAATCTGAGTGTCTGCCTTAGTGATTTTGTATGTGGTTAAATTTAGCTAATGTAAAGCTATTCGAAGTATGGAAAAACGGAACTTTAAAACACTATCTTCTCAACAACCAAGTGGACCCGTTTCGCCTAAAACCCGCACATTTGGCCCAGCACGGTGGCTCACGCCTGTCATCCCAGCACTTTGGGAGGCTGAGGCGGGTGGATCACGAGGTCAGGAGATTCAGACCATACTGGCTAACACGGTGAAACCCCGTCTCTACTAAAAAATACAACAAAAATTAGCTGGGCGTGGTGGCAGGTGCCTGTGGTCCCAGCTACTCAGGAGGCTGAGGCAGGAGAATGGCGTGAAGGCGGGAGGCGGAGCTTGCAGTGAACCTAGATGGTGCCACTGCACTCCACCCTGGGTGAGAGAGCGAGACTCCATCTCAAAAAACAAACAAACAAAAAAACCCACGCATTCATCTGCCTGCCCATCATTCTGTCTGTCCACACGGGCATCACTTGTTAATGGAGCCGAGTGCCCACTGTCGAGCTGACAAGCCCACAACCTACCTGTTCCTCATCACACATTAATTCTTCAACAAATCCCTTTTGATAGATTGTGATTAAGCTTAGCTGCTATTTCCAATTGCTTCCCCAAACGTACTTCTCACTGTTCTCCCATCACACCCTTCAGCCCATCCATGCGGGGTTCCTTTGCTTTTCCCACCTTACACCAAACTCCCTATTTTCACTCCCACTTTTACCTCCTCTCCAAGACAAAACAAACACAACTAGCATTTTAAAACTTAGTTGTAATCTTTCTTCCTTCATGAAAATTTCTCCAACAGCCACTCCCATGGCCCTGTGTGTTCCAGATATTTTTAAATATTGGCTGTAAGGTTGAGCGCGTCAGGATATGCCGTTTTGGCTGTGTGCAGATGGAGGCAGTGGCTGGAGTGAATGAAGGACAATTGCTGGCAACCGGCAGAAGCTGAGAAACAGGGAACAGGCGCTCCTCCAGAGCCTCCGGGAGCCAGGCCTTTGGACACCTCGAACATGGGCTTCTGGGAGACCACATGTGTCTGCTGTAAGCAACCCAGACTCTGGCAGTTTTTAGAGCCACCCCAGGATGCTCATCCACACCTGTCTGACAAGGGCAAGCTCCAAGGAAGGGATTCTTTACGTATCTACATTGTTTGAAGATTTTACAATAATCATTTATTCTTGCATGCCTAATCATCGTTAGCCAATACAGATAAAATAATAAAGAAATGACCCACATTTTATGTTAGGAGTTTGATCTGCCATTTATCAAGTATGGAATCTTGAACAAGGGGTTAAACATCTGAGTGTCTCTATCACTTGATCTGTAAAGTGGGGGTGCCCACATCCACCGGGCTCCCCTCCCAGGCTGGTGCCGGACTCTCCCTGGGTCCCTGTTCTCTCACCAGCCACATCCATTCTCCCTCCAGAATGGCGCTAGTGACTGTGTGTGGCTTTCCATTCCCACCACATTTGTCTCTAACTCCGGCAGCAGATCAGCGTAAGCAGAACACAGCTGAGTGCTCCTCTCCTCCTCGCCCCTTCAGGGGTTCCTCAGCACCCACCGGATCAGGTGCAAACTTCCGAGCCTCGCTGGATCCCCTCCACATTCTGAGCTCCACCTGCCTTCCCATCCCTATCCTTCCCCACCCGCCTCCCTGGCAGAGAAAAGCTGAGTGTGTGATGCTGTCTGAATGCTGAGCACGGCCTTTTGCAGCCGGTCCACTGCGTACGCTGTCCCTGTGGGGGACCTCCACCCTAACCCTTTCAGCCTGGAGCCTTCTCCTAGGGCCCCACGACAGAAGTGACTTCCCTTGCCTTTGAATTCCTATAGCACAAGCCCTACTGCCCCCCATTAAAACTGCAAAGTCCTTTTGTGGAAAATAACTTTATTCATGATTGTGTTTATCACACTATTTTATGGAGAATAGGTGATCAATAAATATTTGCTGAATAAATGAGTAACAGTTACTAAACACTTGATTTATATAGAATTAACGTCGGTTCTCAAAGTGAAAAATTACAAACAGCACTGATACTCAGCCAGTACACACGAGTCTGGTCATAGCAGTTATAAAATACTGAAATACCCCCTGCCACTGACCTTTGGCCCCCAGATGCCTCCCACTGCCACTGCTCTCCCCACTGGGAGCACCTAGACTCCCCATAGCCTGCTAACTAAAGGGCTAACGTCTTGCACAGCAGGAAGCACCCAGGACTGAGCAGCCACATGGCCGAGTCCACTGGTGAAAGCATCCATTCTGACTGATCAGGACCTGAGGACCCTCATTGTTAAATATTTTGATAATATCCCTGATTATAAATAAGGCTCAGTTATATAGTCTGAAAACGATGCTTCTCCTCATTACAAAATCTCTTAGAAGACTCAGAAGACTCCATAGATCCAGGAACGGAGTGGAAAATGATAGCGTGTCAATCTCTGAAGGTTTTGGGCATATCCGTTAGCATTCCATCTTCATGTAAACCAGAAGATACGCAGTTTCCTGCCTAGAGAGAAGACACATCAGCACAGCGGCATGAAATCTTCGTCAGAAAACAACACTTCA